TTCTGATAAACTCGAATAGACCAGTTAGAAGTTTATCTAAAACTCAGCATTCGGGCCAATTTTTTCAATCGATAGAAAAATGATTATTTTAAAGAAAAATCTGACAACTGTATCAAAAATGTTCTTCTCCTTACATCATTAACTCATGCATAAATAATGATTCTCATTAGAAGGCGTACTTATGTGAGGTGCTAGTCATATACTAAACTTCCAATAGTAAAATGATTGAATTTGAAAATGATGACATGCTCATGGAAGAAACGTCTATATTAGTTTCAATAGAGTAACGACTGAATATAGAGACAAAACATACTGTTGAATAGAAGAAACCACTTTCTTCATCTATCAAGAAAAATTCATCTTTAAATTAATTAATCAACGAATAAAGACAAATGTGGATACTAGCTAATTTATCACAGCACATTTTTTTCAACAAAATATGTGCCAAAACGACTGGTGTCTGAAATGTGTGAAAACTTACGAACATATCTAATATGTAATGTCTTCTTTTGTCGAATTCTGAATAAATTAATTTTGGTGAACTTTATTGATGCTGCACTAGACACAACAATGGCTGTGGAATTATTTTACGTAGTTTAATATCATTCCTGTTGATTACAGTGTATGCTGAAATCAACATCAAGAAATAATATTAACTACGATCTTCCCGTTGAAAGTTTCTTAGCTACTTCTCACCTTTTATTCATCTATATAGCGAAGTGCGATGGATAGATTATTTCGCTAACATTATAGCTCATTGTTTTTCCTTTTATTCTTGTCAATCACAGCGTCTAGTGTATACTTGTGCATATTCATAAGTGTATCGAACCAAACATTTGATCCCTTCTATCATTTTCTCTCTTATTGTAGCTACTTTATGTGTTTGAATAAGTGCATTTAAGTCACATGTTATGTATGTATATGTATCTTGTAGTGAAACTGGAGGCACTGTAAAATATAAAAGAAAGATCATAGTAACCATATCTATCAACAGCCTACGAAAAAAGTATTCATTTGCTTAGTTCGTATGAAAGAGTGAATACGATTTATATATTATTGAGTTACTGAATCTTTATCAGGGCCTTAGTTAGTTTTGAACAAATCATTCGCTTCCTGATGAGAAAAAATGCACGGAAATATTGGTCCCTGATTTCTGGCTGTGACGATACTTCCTATTAATCAATTATTTTTCTCGTTTGTTACTGTTTGCAAATAGATTCTACCATCATAAAACCTCTGTATTACCTTTAATTTCAGCATCTTTAACTCAGTTCTGCTACTGAGTGAGAATTAACGTTGCTATAACCGATAGAAAAATTGATCAACTATCATAAAAAGACAGATTTGGAAAAACAGGAAATAGATTCTTTGCCTAACAATTCACACCCACCGTTATAATGTAATTGCTTCGATCTTAATTACCGTTAACAAGAATGATCAGAGTAATTGTTATCGAAAGGCTTAGTTAACCATCTGCCTTTTCGCTTTTCATTTATCACCCTCATCTAACATGATAATGGACAATGGCCCATATCCTTTAGGCTGCTAGAACAATAATCAATCATGGATACTGAACAGTATTTAACAACCAAAACCCTTGATAATAAAAATTTCTATTGCAATTCATAAAAACAATTACAAATATTAAATGGAAATAATGAAGCAGATATTTTATTGTAAAACATTATTTTTAAATCTAAAACCTTTGTCAATACTGCAAGAATATCAAAGCAAGATCGGCCATTATTGTTCTAACAGTATACATAATTACTTCTGCAGTTTGTTGCAAACGTCTCGATCACTCAAATGCTATCACTTTTATTGGATCATATCACACTGTATTGGATTCCGCTGAAAGACGTTTTTACTCTAACTACTAATTAACGTTATAACTACGTCAGTATTTACTGAGTAGATTATCCTTTATATACTTTACATGTGGTTCTCAGCGTCCCTACTTCTACTTGTCGACAAAATATATGAATAATCTTAAATAAAACTTGTGCATCAGTAATCTCATCGAATATCACATGCTGAATGAATACTTCTCACAACTGTTCTGTCCACCCCTTTTGTCCACTCTGAAGAAAAGCTTACGAATTCGTCACACCATCGAGCATCGCATAACAAATGAATATTTCTAACCAATGTTCTGTTCACTTCGTTTGCTCACTTTCAAGAAAAGCTTGCGAGTTGATCACCTCATCGAACAGCACCTGACAAATAAGTATTTATAATTAATCATCTGTTCATCTCTTTTACCCACTATGAAGAGAAGCTTGAGAGTTGATCATATCATCGAACATCACATGAGAGATGAGTATTTCTCATAACTGTTCTGTTTACCTCTTTTACCCACTATAAAGAGAAGCTTGAGAGTTGATCATCTCATCGAACATCACATGACAAATGAGTATTTTTAATTAATGTTCTGTTCACCTCTTTTGCTCTCTTTGAAAAAAAGCTTGTGAGTTGATCATCTCATCGACCATCACATCACGACTGAGTATTTGTCACGACTGTTCTGATCAGGTATTTTGTTCACTATGAAGAAAAGCTTGCGGGTTGATCACCTCATTGAATATCAAATGACAAATGAATATTTGTGATTAATCTTCTGTTCACCTCTATTACTCACTCTAAAGAAAAGCCAGCGTGTCGATCACCTCCTCGAGTACCATATGAGTAATGAATATTTGCTATAAGTCTTCTGTTCAGCTCTTTTGCTCACTTAGAAGAGAATACTTGAAATTGAATAGCCACAGGAGTGTGCAAAGTCGTTGAATATGGGGAAGTGCAGCTTGCAAGATATTATTCATCATTAACTCTTACTTTGAAATAATACGGACGCACTATCATTTGCTGAATGTTTATTTAATTAATGAATACTTATAATCAAAGTTTTGCTCAGTTATCTTACTCATAATACTGCAAAGTTATTTCATTCTCCAGTGAATCAATGATTACATATCAAATAAATGATTTCTATCAGCATTTTATTTGTTTACATCATCATTCAAATTAATAACTTATCGTCCAAAAATCGATCACACGCCACATAACTAACGAATAGTTAAAACGCATGTTCAAATCACATTTCATGCTCATGATAAAAAATACTCTTGGCATCTCAGTCTGATCGAATATCGTACGACAAATGAATACGCACTTTTGTATACTTACATCCAGTATGTGCATAATTTTCTATGACTTTTGCCAATACTTTACTTGATCATATATGACAGGATAAAAGAATAACTTTAATAAAATCTTTGTTCGACTATCACAGTAGGTTAAAAGTAAATGGCGAGACTATGCATGCTGATTTACGATGGTAAAGGAAGTGAATACTCATGATCCAAATCTCATCCAATCTTCATATTCACTCAGGTACAAAATGATTGAACTAGCGCGTAAATGGAATATCATCTAATATATGGACAACCGATTTCTTATAATAATATCCTTTACTTCTCTTAATCCAACGAACTACAAGTTCAGCCAATCCCATTAATAAAAAAACTACATGGTTGAGGAATAAAATGTACCATAATCATTATTCTCTGATTCAATTATTCTAATTCATATAAGTTAGCACTTATACATCAACCGTAGAATTGAAGAATACAATGCAAATAAACATTTGCAAGGAAAAACTAATTCATCTATTGTATTTATCGTAGAGCAAAGCTTAATAAATAGTTAGCTATTATAGACCAAATAGCAAGTGAATAAGTACTTGCCAACAGTTCTGTTCGCTTTCTCTATTTCTCCAGTAACAAAAGGTATAGTAATAACCGATATATCAAAGGTCGCATCAAAGTTAAATAATCAGTTACCAATCTGTCTATTCACTTATTTTACTAGTAAGATTGCTGTGTTTCCTCCGCATAGCAACTATGTGAAGATTGAGTATCATATGAATTACTGTCATCATAGTTTAATTCATATTTAATAATAAATTAGCAATTAACCTTCGAGATTGATTCGCTCATTTAAGATCACATAGAGAATGACTGATGATAACGGCAACGACCAAAACTTCATTCATTTACTTTTTGAATCTAATCTAATAAATTTAAGTTAACTAGATGAAAATGAATTACACATCTGTTGAAGAGTCATAACATCTGGCGCAAAGATTGCATTCAAAAACCTTGTTCAATGTTGACTAAATATTTTAATCAATAAGTGAGCCGAAGACCGCATGAAAAGATGATAATATTAAGCATAACTCTGTTTCTGTATATTGTTTCATGTTAGGGAAGCTTACAAATTCGTAATATCACTGGGAATATATAGAAAATGAATCGTCATAACGTCCGTTAATCTCTGTTCGTTTATCTTATTCTTTCGATAACAGTTTACTTTGTCTCAATCAAATAAATCAAGATCATATTCATGATGAATGATCAGAACAAAAATTGCATTCATTTGCTCTAATCTCTTGACAGAAAAGGCTTTAATTTGATATACTTTTTGATGATTAATAAGTAAATGTATACTTCCTATCAAGCTTCTTATCAGAATATGGTGATTGTTTCTTTGGTGCAACAATTGTTGGTTTTTCTAAATAAAGAGTGATAGTCTCTGTAATGAGTTGAGAAAAAAAGTATGACTGTCACTACACTCTGTTATCAAGATTACAAACCTACAGAAAATCCATGATATCTGTCAAGCTAGAGAAGTGAATTTGATCTATGTACAATTGAAAACGTTTTTAAAAGTGACACTCATGTGCGTATTTATATTTAGATCAGTTTAAAGAAAACCTAGTTCCTGTGCTCTATAATTTATTATCCTTTGAAAGAATTTCAGTTTTTCGAAACTTTATTTATTTTGTTAAGTTGACAATCGTAGTATATATGTAACAATATCACTTATTTGGAAGATAATAAAAAACCTTACTTAAATCTCAAGACTCCGAAGCTTGACATAAAGTCTGCCGTAAAACTGTATGATATACCTGGCAGAAATACCTGGTAGAGACTTTCTCATACCTAAGAAAAAACAATGAACTTACCTTTTTTGGAAGATGGTTGAAAAGATGATCCATACGGTGGTTGCAAAGATGATTCATACGGTGGTTGAAAAGATGATTGATAAGGTGATTGAAAAATTGATGGATACAATGGTTGTTCAGATAGTTCTGATATTACACTTGATGATGAACTATATTCTTCTTCTTTCTGTGGATTTACTGTGTGTGCTGGCAGTTTCGTTGGAGGTAAAGCATGCTTTAGCTCGTTGAGATCGAAAGGATCTGCAAGCATTTTATGCGGTGGCTCAATTTCTTGAAGATGGATAATGTGTAAACCATCAGCTGGATTCAAACTGCTAACTACTTTAAGATATATACCTGGTGGTAAGAGTATTTCATCTTCATTGTCAAAATATGAATGTGCACGAACGAGCTTTCCACTATTAGTTTGAATAGAAAATATTGTTCTTGTGCCTGATTTTCCTAAATAGTTCGGAGATTCGAGCACATTAATTGAAGTAGTGCAAGAAGTAAACGCCCACCAAGCAAATTCTTTACCCTTTGGATAAAGCGCACTAAGATCTTCACAAACACCACGCCAAACTAACGTGTCTTTACTTGGTCTAAAATATAGGAAGAAATTACGACGTTTAATAACACATATTATTACGTACGGCAATTTGAAAAATGCAGTTAAGAACAATTTTAAATATTTAAACCAGGGCTTTAATTTTGAACGATCAACCAAACGAAGTGTTTGATTAAGCTTCATATACAAACTATTATCGTGTTTTGTCCATTCCATAGTATAAAGATGAATGGAAGCTGACTCATCTTGAGTGAGTTTATCTTCGGGATCCGAGGAATTCATTTTCGCTACGGTTATATATTGCTTCAATTGGTGATCAAGTAAGTCTTTTATTGGTTCACATGCATCTTCGAGAGATTTAACAGTTACTTCTTCATAGCCATATATGGGTACTAGCATCCTCTTAGGTTCATCACGAACGCTTTCCAGAAGACGATGATTAATAGCAGTGGATGTAGCCATACGTGTATTTGTTCGTTTGATCTAAACTTCAACGAAATTTGAATATTGTATTATACTATGCAACACAAATGCTTTAAAAGGTAACACTATGCATGTAAAAGATGAAATCGCGCTAATAGCAAAAAAAACGTCACTTTTTTTTCTTCTGTTTTTTGCAAATAGCATATCATCTACAAGTATAGGTGTTATTTTATCTTTATTTTACTTTATAATAAAGAATAAAATAACGAAAAACTTTATATTTATAAAATAAACAATAAAGATACTCTTTATTTTGAAAAGAAAGAGAAAGAAATAAAATCTTTATATTTGTTTTATGAAGACAAACTAAATCGTTATCTTTATAAAATAAATATAAAGTTCTTCTCAGTAAATGAAAGAATGAAATGTAAAATTTGGTTGCAAAAAAAATGGCTTTGTTAATAGAAAGGAATGCATATCATGATCATTTAGAAACTAAAATAAATTATTTACAATAAGTTCATTATCATTAAATATGGGTTCTTAAAGATAATCTCGATCATGTGCATCCGGTTGAGGGTGGGTGGATGTAAGCGAATCCGTAGATACATCTTTTCCTTATATGCATCCACATCTACACCCACACCTACCCTGTGATTCTTAATTGTTTAAAATACAAAGCTGCAATAAAGTTAGATGAATTTTATAATAAGATCTAATTAACATTGGTAATCATAACATGATATAGAGAGTTAAATGATTAAAATAATTTGTTCATAAAAATTTATGGCTAACATTTCATGCTATTCGCGTTTTAATTACCTTGAAATGTAAAAAAGACAAAGTGTATAGTCAAAATCGTGTTATTACGACGCTTTCTGTAACGAACTAAATTTCCTGTTCAAAATCGAAAAACGAATAGTGCCAGTCCAATCTTGATATATTCATCTCGCGTTTGAACAAATATTTTCCTGGAATTTATCATATGATCATGTTCGACTAGAAAATGACATTACGCTTGGAAACACTTGATATTACAGATTTAATTATATCTAGATCAGCGCCAATATAAATCATCCAGATGATATCAAATAATGAATCTTCACTTTTTTCATTATTACAACGTAAATCAATTATTGATCCACAAACAATACTTAAAACTTGTCATAAAAACTGTATGTATAAAACTAAAAATGAATCAATAGAAAAATTATCCACTGAAGTCTCAACTCAATGTCAAAATTCAACAAATACTTCTACAGATGAACAGACACAAATATCACAAATAAATGAATCTAAAGATACTCAAACTTGTTATATTTATTCACCTATATTTAATAAAAATCAACGACAAATATCAACAACAAATAAATATGTATTTATTAATCCATATGCAATTATTGATCGACTTAATCAAGGTGAACAATTTCTTAAATTTCTTTATAAACAAAATTTAAAACTTGATTCAATCTATTCAAATTTTCTTAATAATCTTCTAAAATATACCGATAATTTTCTTCTTTCTCTTCAAAAAAAACATTGTCTATATGGAATTTATCGACAAGATATGATCCGGTAGAAAATTGAGTAGTATTTTTTGTATTTTACTAATATTTTCATTTAGATATATGATTCTATT